CATTGACGAAAGCATAATCTCCAAGCCCACAGAAAACTATCGATTTAGTGGAAAGCAATAGAATAAGGGAAAAGATAATAAAGAAATCGAATGGTGAAGTTGAGCTATACCATCAAGCTAACTGTGAACGTCCAAGCCATTTCTAGTTCACGTAGCATTTATCAAAGGTGTTAGAAATTAGTGTCTATATTTAGAATTGTGAATGAAGGTTAAAGTTTTTATCACGAACTAGCGTCAATTATAATCCAAGTACCTCAAACTGCATATCCTAAGCATTCTTAGCGTATTGAGTAATTCATCAATCCTTGCCATCTTTTGATTGAATAAACGGGTTGAGATATCGAGGTCGTCCGGCGGTATAGCTCAGGTCCACCAAATTGAGTAGCCACGTGATCGCATTCCTAGAATCAAACTAACATTTGATGGCTTCACGGATTGATGCCAATCCTTGGTTCCAGTGAGACCTTGATAAGATGCAATTACTATTAATAATAATGATGCTAGTAAAATAGTGTTTTTCCAAACTCCTTATTTATATGTTAAGCCAAGATAATACATATCTTAAAGTAAATTTCCGCTGGCACTGTAATCATTGTCTGGGACAACCCATTTAACCATTAATATCTGCGAATGATGCTAATCAACTTCCCTTCAATCAGCGGAATATCATTACGAAGTACTCAGTGGTGTACGTATCCAACCAAATTAAAAAGAAAATCGGCTTAACTTGCTATCAAAAACATAAATAAATAGTAATAGCTAAAATTGCCATCTGAGAATTCAGTTTACCTCACCGTCACAGATTCTTCGTTGATCCTGTGACAGATCACTTTCATTTACTATGTGCTTCCATCGAATAAATTTTGTAGGTTCTCTCACAAATGGATGACGTTCAACACAGTATTATCTTTAGCAAGTTCAAAACTGACCTTATTGAAATATAATTAACATATTTAACTTAGTATATGATACTTAGGTTAAATCTCATTCAGAAAAGCCAAATGCAAAATGTCGCTGTGAGAACATAATATTTCAAGCGTTCATATACGATCAGATAGACTGTAATAGAAGATGTAAATGAAAATAGTCCAGTGACAACTCCATTTAATTAATTCCGATTATATGTAAGACAAATAATGCACAAAATGTAGGTAACCGTTATGGCTATAGGCAGAATAGAAAATCGGCATGCAGAAAGCATGCAAACGTAGAAACGTAGATGACTATCATGTCTGAGCTGATAGGTATGGCAACCAACTGAATTATAATGACACTTCTTGAGACTTCTTTTGTCTGATCATAGATAGATTTGTATGCATAATAGGTCGATGAGCTTGGTATAATCCAATAATATGGAGTATTTACGATTCGTATTATGAATTTAGTGTCACATGAATCATTGAGATGATCAGTTATTTTTACGGCTACGTCTAAAATATGGAATAATCTGTCAAACTCAGTGTCGTAAAGTGACATTAATCAGGTGTTGTAGAAAATCCTATATTTATATTATTTTCCATGTGAAAAGTGTTATGGCTTAAAAAGTATGTTTTGTAATACATTTAGATCAAAAATATACAATAACTGAAATTGCGAAATTGTCTAGTTCATTTGTATACAATACAAATGAATAAATTATAGAGTGGACTGAAAATGTGTAGTGGTGAGTGAAAATATACACACTAACCAAGTGCAATTTGAAATTTAAGGCTGATAGATTAGATTGATTAATATATTGTTGATTGTATTCCAAATAATTATGATACTAAAAATAGTTTTAGAGGCTTTCTTCAGACTCCAGTAAGAAAACAGTAAAGTATTTACTTTCAACTTATTCCTTGTATTCTTTCATAAATTAGAATAATGAAGTGATTATGAACTTACTGATAGTCAATTAACTTTTGCTAGAAAAACAATCGCTATAGTTGTTCAAGGTTAAAATAGACAAAGTTCAATTTGAATAAAGTCAACACTACCGAGTAAAATCGAAAATTTAATGATCTGTTAATGGGTTATATGAATACTTTGCTACCACAACTTCTTCGACACTATGGTGTACCTGAGAAGATCGTCAATATCAAACGGAATTCATTCGATGGACTACAGTACAAAGTGATGCATGAATGACAGCTGACATATGCATCCCAAGTGAAAACTGGTGTCAGACAAGGTTGATTACTCTCTTATAGTATTCGAATTATCGTACGAACTAGGAATCCCAGCATTAACGCAAATGAACTGAGAATACACAGGCACAACGAATGTACTGTATTTAGAATTCGAAATCGAGCATTCAACAACTACAAAAGAATCATTAGTTAATTCAAACACCACATCCGCCACAGCTTAAATAGAAGTATGAGTGTTTGTAATCGGTTGTACGTCTTCTTGTTAAGTTCATCCTGAGTCTGTCCGACATTGTATAAGATAAAAACTTTGTAGTATCTAGAAAGTGCTCATTAGTATTGGAATTAACAAACGAAATCGGAACAGACTCACCTGGAATTGTATACAATCAGCATATCGGTTTTGTACTGAAATCATTAATATCTAGAATTTCAACCATAGATTTTTCAACACTATCCTCCCCCACGAAATAATGTTGGATCTTTATATCCCCATGTTATGAATGATGTGGCTTCATTTAAAACATATTTCTCACATTGTTTAGAGTAAACAGTAGAACTGTTTTTGTGATAAGGGTAAACAGCAGTTGATATGAAATCATCCGAAATGTAATCAAACTCGAGGTCACTTAGTACTCGTGCTTCGCATTGAGCAGGTTTTTCACAAGGATCAAATACATTATGAGGATAGGTAATATATGATATGACATCAGGATTTGATTCTTCTGAAATATTCACATGAAATTCATTAGGACTGTCATTGCAGAGCGTAGGATCGTTAGAAAAATCAGCATCTATCCAAACCACATCAGGTTTTCGATCATGATTAGGTTCATTTAACATATTTTCCTCAGAATTGCAAGTAATTTCATTAGAAATATGTGAATCATTAGGAAAAGTCATACCTGGTACAACAGCATGAGAATTCTGATAAATCGGTTGATTAGGAACTGTTGTCTCACAAGAATTCTGAATTTCATTTAACTCTGAACTGCCATAAGACTCTGCACTGTCTTTTGAAATCGTTGATAAAGATAAATGATCATCATGAATACTCGACTCAGTAGAATCAGAATTACAAGACTTAATATTAGTTGCAGTAAGATGAACATTAGCACTACAAACTGACTGAACTTGTCCAATATCACGACATTTGAAGCACTTAGAAATACGAAATTGACATGAATAAGAAGAGTGGAACTTGCAACAGGACAAGCACTGACCAAACTTGTCCCCATCCTCGTGAACTGCATCCAAACTCAACGAATTGTCTGCATAATCTTGAGTATGAACTGGGTTGGGGTGACGTAGTAATGTAGTGGACTTTTTTATATCCTCATGAATCATTTTACGAAATCTTCCTCCTTTACGACATTCGAAATTTGTATACTGAGCATAGTCTAGCAGTAGATCCTTGAGAGCTGTATAAGAAAGCGAAATGGGTTTTTCCGGCATAGCCAAAGTTCTTAATAAGCTGTACGCTTCTTTTCCAATGAATGTGAGGAAGTGTGCCACAATATTAACATCATCATCATCTTCCTTGGTCATAGCCCAGATTTCGAACCTTTCAAAGTAATCTTCAAAAGCTTCCGAAGTTGAATGAATATCTAACTTTTCCATTGCAGGCTCCATCGCGACGCCAATATAGTATTCGAATTATCGTATGAACTAGGAATCCCAGCATTAACGCAATTGAACTAAGAATACACAGGCACAACGAATGTACTGTATTTAGAATTCGAAATCGAGCATTCAACAACTACAAAAGAATCATTAGTTAATTCAAACACCACATCTCTCCCTTTCTATTTCCACTGTTGCTTGACTGGATCATGAAGACCTCGACGTCTGAGGGGAATCACGGAATACAATGGACAGCTTGCATGCAACTAGACGATTCGTGCTTCTCACATGATCTGACTCTTCACTCCCATACACACGAACGAATGCAGATGAAGACAATAGTGTAGCAGTAGCTTCTGGATCAGTAGTCCTCAACATACACAAGGGAAAAACCAAGGTCTTCAAAGACAACATGGAGAACACCAATCCAATCACACTTGATGAAAAGATGCTGTGGAAGATATGGAAACTCTCACGTACCTGGAAACATTATCAATGAACAAGGAGTATTTGATACAGACGTAAAGGTGGGCATTGGCGAAACGAGGACAGCATTCCTAAATTGAAGAACATGTGAAACTCAAATCAACTCTCAATCAACTTCAAAGCGAATCCTAATAAGTAAACTAGGTGTACATTAACCATGATCAATTCTAATATTTGTGATATTTTACCTTATCTTATTTATAGGATATACAGTTTAGATCCGAATTTATCTAGATAAAGGTAAACTATTATTCTTGAAACTTGTGAATATAATGCATAGCTTTATCTGCGTATGAGAGTTTGCTCAAATGAACATCTTTAATGGCACCAGTTCTATATATTGTTCAAACTTTTGTTAAATGGGTAAAATAAACTTTCGTGTATGTTTGGTATGTGGACGTCTGAGTGGAGAACTGTTTGTAACTCTGGGGTTCTCCAATATTTCAAAAGTAAGTCAGAATTTTAAACATGTACCAATAAGTCAATCTTTTTGTTATAAAAGTTAATAAATTTGAAGAACCTGGAGCATTACATATTTTGCTGTCTACAGTATTTCAATTTAATATGTCTTCTTTTTCCTAACACAGGGAACTGTACCGACGATCAATTCATTTTATCGTTTGGTAGATTCTAATTATACATATACACAACTGTGTAGTGGTGGGCCAATTGATATAACTGCAGTTACATATCCAATGGGGAAGCGCTGCTCATACGCAACTCAATGGATAAATAGGCTTTTAAATAACGTTATCTCTCTGAATATAACTAAAGTGTCGTTATTGCAGTATGGAAGTGGGGTGTGGATACCAAGAGGATTCACTATTAATATGACTTATGTGGACAGGTACACTATAACCTAATATTACCGACTTTTGATAAAATGTTGTAAATCTCAACTTTCCTAACTTTTTCTATGAAACTGATCTTTGGTTTTTTTTAGTCAAAGCGTAGTGTGAACTAATAACATCTGACAATCTGTTCGTTGCTTAGATTGATCCCCTTTAATTCAAGTGATATTAAGTTGGTTTCTGAAATTCACCTCGAGTAAAACTATATGAACATTGGTTTCAGCATTTTAGTCGTAAGCCTGATTAACTATTATGCCTTTCTGAATTTTTCATAACGCACAATTTTTTCACAAACAAAAGATTGGTGAAAATTTTTGAAAATCATACAACATCGAAATAGTGCTACTTGCTCTTAACATTTTTCGCCTTCACATTCTTCTCCTAGTTTGTGAACAAAAGTCGTGGAATAAACCGAGTTTGTTTTACGTTAAGTCTACCTATAAACTAAACTCAGCCTGACTAAACAACAAAAGATAAGATTATAAATCAGATATTGAAGTACAGTAATTTTGGAAGTTGATATGGGATTTCGAAGTGGGACAGTAGAAGAATAAGATATAATAGCCACATTATATACCATAGTTCAGACTGGTTCATTATATTTGTCCTGAATCTGAACATATGGAGTAAGAAAGGTGAGATCACCACCAACATCCCCTACGTTTGCACTTAGTGATTACATAGAATAAAAATAATCTAACAAGTGGAAGTAAACAGACCATTGGAAAGAATTCGTCAGAAATGATTGTGGTTGACGTTACATGGCTTCCGGATATATGGGTAAGGGCGGAAACAAAGTGAAGTAAATGCACAGAATATCACTTATCAAGTTTTGCCAAGGCCTTGAACTTGTTCGCCTAGTATGTCGTCTCCTAGAGATAGCATATGTACAATCTTTTCTTTAGTCTAGACATCAGCTCAGACAAAAATGATCTGTAAACCCCGTAATAATTATTAGCGCGATACTTCCAATGTCTTCACTTGGATGTAATGACTGGTGTAAGTCGTTTTGAATTATTGAGTGTCTATCCTTTTACAATATTCTTTGTGAATGAAAGGGAAAAGCGAAACAGAACCAGATATAGGAGTCTGTTTTCTTAATTATATTGTCAGTCAATCGGTCAAGTTAAATCACACTAGCAATAAGAACCTGGGGATAATGTATTGTGCCAGTTGGCTATTTTCTGTCCAATTGAGTCGGTCACTAAAATATCTCAATTTTTAATTACAGCTTAGAGATAAGCTACTGATTATGTTTGTATAACCAACATCTATGGTTAGTTACCTTCTCTGTGGCCACTGAAGCATGTGAAATTATCAAGACACGAATCTGGGGCATCAAAGACTGCATTTGTTTTGGTAAACAGTTGCTCCACTTGAAAGCTCCAGCTGACTAATTGAGAATGGTATGATTTACTCATTAGTCGTGCATATTACATGTGTAAAATTGTGTTTGGAACTGTTTAGTACTATCCTTTTATTAATTAAGCTTTGGATTTGACAATTATATCTGTCTGTGTGAGCAAGTTATTGTGTTAGTTCTCAATGAAATAAACAATAGCCAGTGATATTTCATTTTGATAATTATGAAAAATATATCCACAGCTATAAATGTGATTGTTATGTAATCTTAACTGAACAAGTTATTGCGGAATAACTACATTTTGGAGAACTGAAAATGACGTAGTAAATAACTGATTAGAGTACATTTGTGACATTGCCACTAAGTTTCAAGAAGATAGATATTCAAGTGAATGGACATGAGTAATGCTAATACAACCGTGAAATATTTTCAAAATAACCAATCAAGTAAGAATTTATAAATGTTTTCGTTATCTATCTAGTTTCATAAATCATCTGATAGGCTACTATTGAGTGTGTATTGAGAAGTTTCCAGTCTTTGTTCACACTAGTACCTTAAAAAAAGTGAATGTTTAGCTAAGAAACGGTATCTTCAAATCTATCATTATTTTCCCCAGAACTTTATTTAATTAGCAATATCTTGCATTACTCTTTTCTTTTATGCAAGCGAAGTAGACAACAAAAGATTTTTGTTTATTTTCATAGTTTGGTGAGAGTGGATTTCGGCCCAGTGTGTCCTACATATGAAGGTAATCATTTCGTAAGTCAGTCGCATAATTACTTTTTGGTTTGACAAAGTTTTTCTGGCTAGCCGCTAATATTATGTGTTTTCAAACAATAGGTTTACACTAAGTTACCTGAATATTAATGTACATATGTTAAAATTATAACTAAGTATTTCAGTCGTAAGTAGTCTTGTGGTGTGTGCTACGTATATCGACATAAGTAGTATATGACGTTACTCGTAAACATAATGTCTGGCAGCAAAGAGAAAAGAGGATCGAACAGTAAAGAATGGGAACAGAATGCAATTTGTATGAAAATGCAAGAACAATTAATTCTGAGTCATTATGAGACAATTGATGGAAATTTTGCGAATTACGTATTTACTATTTGATTGTTAGATTTTATTAACACGTCCTGTAATTTTTTGTCAGGTACATTCTATTGTTCCCCCACTGGTGTTCTTGCTCACTACAGTTTTACTAAATGTTTGATTGGATGAGCTGTACTGGGATTATCAAATAAGGCAGAATGAATGTAATGAATATTTTCAGCTTTTTGGTATTACCCATTCATAATATACCAGTGTATATGGTCGTGTCAGGCTAGAAGATCGAACATTTCATCTGTGAGGAAAACCATACTTGCAATTTGATTATGGTATCCTGGAAGTAAGGCGTTCCTCACAGATAACTAGTATTTATTGCTTGTGAATTGTTATGGTCTGCAGGAAACTTCAGAAGAAGCCTGATTTTGTTGAGCACAGTCTATTTCTTCATGTTTAAACAGAGGAAGTGATATTTGTATACTCTGAAATGCCTAGACAACATCTTAAATGTGAGAATAAAATCTACCGAGGTTGAAAGTGATCACTCTGCAGCTGTTAGTTCTTAGATTCTGAAACCAAGCTTATAAGTATATCATACTTACTTATAAGGTGCTAAGAAGAAATATTAAGCTTCACACAGAATGATTCCAGTAAGTTGTAAGTGATTTCACATTCGTAGTATATGAAATCCATCATACACACCATTAAAAAATTTTACTTGTTTCTTCTATTCTTGGTAAAACGCTTAATTTAATCTGTCCTTCCAAGTGGATGAAAACGTTGTTAACAATTCAAAATTAAAAAAATGTAAGCCTTGTCTCGTGAAACCACTCGTGGATACAAAGTTGACAGTCTCATTGTCCGAACTTTATGCCAATTCTGACAACATACATCATTACCCCAAATGCAGATCTTCAAATGGTAGTTGTAGACTGTCTCACAATCCTCATATATGTTGAAATTATTTTATTTTATTTGTCATCACGTGGGCGATGTAGTGAAGCTTGACATTGTGCCTTAGAAGTGTCGGGCAATTCAACAGAATTTTCTATCAGTTAATAAGATGTAATTGTAACATTAAGTTAAAGATTGATGAACTCACTTCCAGACTTATTTCTTGTCGATAGTCTTTCATTTATTGTTCAACAGAAAAAGATTTCAAAATCCCTAAAAACTCAAGATATTCGTCATTGTTTGTTTTTAGCTAACTCCTGCTACTTCATAAATTACATGGATGCCACAAAATGAAAGAAATATTTCCAGATGTAAAATAGTAGTCTAGAAATTCCAAAATAATAACCAAATAATATTTAGCTTCACCAAGAAATAGACGGGAATTAGCCAGAAAAATGAGGTGAATAAAAATTGTTTCAGTAAAGAAAGGTTTTATTTTAATAATAACTGTTATATAAAAACAAAAACCAACTATATTACTGAATATCCTTTATTTGTTGAACTCATTCTTTCCGTTGGCTTCTCACCTACATTTGGTCTTATCGGTCTCATTATTTAGACTTTTTCATCTTGTGTTTTTCTTTTACTCAGTTAATATGAAATTTAAGAGCCTGCACAAATGCAGTTATTCTAGGTCTTACACTATTGAGTTCAGTCTACCTCAATGCTTAATGGCTAAACAGTATTTTGAGCATTTTTATATTTTCATAGGATTTTGAAAGTGTCGTTAATTTTTAACAGTAAGCAGAACAGAAATAATGCTAGTTGGCAGGAATATGTTTAACTATCGGTATCATGAAGAAATAAAATAAATTTAGTTTACATCAGATTGATATCAACCGAGTTTATTGCTATGCAGAATGATAATTCTTCTAATTAAACACTAGATTCGGTTCCTATGCTCTTCTAGCAAACACCAGGCTAGATATACACAGCGACTCGAACAAGTGAGAAAATGCGAGAAATATGGAAGAAACGCTTTACTTCAAGGTTTGTTTAAAATTTTTATTGAATGCCGATTGAATAAGATGTTCCTCAGCGTTTTCAGACGCTTTGTTGCCTTTCTTCAAGACATTTTCTGGATCACCGCAACACAGAAAAGGTAATATTGGAATTTAAAACATTTAAGGACTTTCCCTAAAAATGAGTAATATTTCGGAGACATACAAAGTTCATGTTTTTCCTTTTCTCTATTTTCGGTTTATAGCTATGAGACAAAAGAAAATAATACAAAGAATAAAATCTTCTCGACATACATATTTTAATATTCGCACATCTGTCAATCAATAAAATAAAGAGTTCCGAATGTTTCCGATCAGGCATAACTGTTCATCAGTTAGTAGTAGATAATGTGTGACACCATACGTTCTTATATACTACAATTACATTTGCTTCTAAATTTTTCTTAACTCATATTGTTACCGAAATCTTTTTTCACTCACTGATATAAATTAAAGTGTATTCTATAATCTAATTCTATCGACCATAAGTTTAGTTAATGAGACTGTATTATGGATATGATAAAAAAACAATTATATTCACAACTCCAGTCAGTCATTTTTGTGTTATTACGTAAATATTTCTTTCGACTTCAGTGTTGTTGTTGTTTACGTTTTATAGATGGAAATACAATTTACTACTTACATATTAGGGGATTGCAATACGACGCAGACAAAAACGTATTCATTCCCAACCTGGCATAATATTAGTGGCAATACAAAGGTTTTTATTACATATAGCATGGACTTCCTAGTTACACCAAATTTTCCAGTTTATACAGACGTAAGTGTTAAATTATATAAAAAGAGTTTAAGAACATTTATCACTTGTTAAATAATAATTCTATTTGTTAACAGATAATAAGAAAAAGTTTATACAGGTCTTAAAGAAATACCATATTAAAGTGAAAACTTACTTTACTTACGCCAGTTACCCACGTGGCGTAGCATAGGCCGCTCACGTGCATTCCACATCCAACTCCGTTCTAAACGATCCTTTCCAATATCTTCTAGCTGCGATTCATTCTTTTCATGTTTGCTACGTCTGTATCAAATACTCCCTGTTCATTGATGATGTTTCCAGGTACGTGAGGGTTTCCATCTCTTCCACAGCATCTTTTCATCTAGTGTGATTCGATTGGTGTTCTCCATGTTGTCTTTGAAGACCTTGGTTTTTCCCTTGTGTGTGTTGAGGACTATTGATCCAGAAGCTGCTGCTACACTATTGTCTTCATCTGCATTCGTTCGTGTGTATGGGAGTGAAGAGTCTGATCATGTGAAAAGCACAAATCGTCTAGCTGCATGCAAGCAGTCCGTTGTATTCCGTGATTCTCCTCAGATGTCCAGGTCTTAATGATCCAGTCAAGCAACAGTGGAAATAGAAATGGAGAGAGTAATCAGCCTTGTCTGACACCAGTTTTCACTTGGGATGCATATGTCAGCTGTCATTCATGCATCACTTTGTACTGTAGTTCATCGAATGAATTCCGTTTGATATTGATGATCTTCTCAGGTACACCATAGTGTCGAAGAAGTTGTGGTAGCAAAGTATTCATATAACCCATCAACAGATCATTAAATTTTCGATTTTACTCGGTAGTGTTGACTTTATTCAAATTGAACTTTGTCTATTTTAACCTTGAACAACTATAGCGATTGTTTTTCTAGCAAAAGTTAATTGACTATCAGTAAGTTCATAATCACTTCATTATTCTAATTTATGAAAGAATACAAGGAATAAGTTGAAAGTTAATACTTTACTGTTTTCTTACTGGAGTCTGAAGAAAGCCTCTAAAACTATTTTCAGTATCATAATTATTTGGAATACAATCAACAATATATTAATCAATCTAATCTATCAGCCTTAAATTTCAAATTGCACTTGGTGAGTGTGTATATTTTCACTCACCCCTACACACTTTCAGTCCACTCTATAATTTATTCATTTGTATTGTATACAGATTAAACTAGACAATTTTGCAATTTCAGTTATTGCATATCTTTGATCTAAATGTATTACAAAACATACTTTTTAAGCCATAACACTTTTCACATGGAAAATAATATAAATGTAGGATTTTCTACGACACCTGATTAATGTCACTTTACGACACTGAGTTTGACAGATTATTCCATATTTTAGACGTAGCCGTAAAAATAACTGATCATCTCACTGATTCATGTGACACTAAATTCATAATACGAATCGTAAATACTCCATATTATTGGATTATACCAGGCTCATCGACCTATTATGCATACTAATCTATCTATGATCAGACAAAAGAAGTCTCAAGATGTGTCATTATAATTCAGTTGGTTGCCATACCTATCAGCTCAGACATGATAGTCATCTACGTTTCTACGTTTACATGCTTTCTGCATGCCGATTTTCTATTCTGCCTATAGCCATAATGGTTACCTACATTTTGTGCATTATTTGTCTAACATATAATCGGAATTAATTAAATGGAGTTGTCACTGGACTATTTTCATTTACACCTTCTATTACAATCTATCTGATCGTATATGAACGCTTGAAATATTATATTCTCACAGCGACATTTTGCATTTGGCTTTTCTGAATGAGATTTAACCTAAGTATCATATACTAAGTTAAATATGTTAATTATATTTCAATAAGGTCAGTTTTGAACTTGCTAACGATAATACTGTGTTGAACGTCATCCATTTGTGAGAGAACCTACAAAATTTATTCGATGGAAGCACATAGTAAATGAAAGTGATCTGTCACAGGATCAACGAAGAATCTGTGACGGTGAGGTAAACTGAATTCTCAGATGGCAATTTTAGCTATTACTATTTATTTATGTTTTTGATAGCAAGTTAAGCCGATTTTCTTTTTAATTTGGTTGGATACGTACACCACTGTGTACTTCGTAATGATATTCCGCTGATTGAAGGGAAGTTGATTAGCATCATTCGCAGATATTAATGGTTAAATGGGTTGTCCCAGACAATGATTACAGTGCCAGCGGAAATTTACTTTAAGATATGTATTATCTTGGCTTAACCAATAAATAAGGAGTTTGGGAAAACACTATTTTACTAGCATCATTATTATTAGTAGTAGTAAGTACATTTTATCAAGGTCACACTGGAACCAAGGATTGGCATCAATCCGTGAAGCCATCAGATGTTGGTTTGATTCTAGGAATGCGATCACGTGGTTACTCAATTTGGTGGACCTGAGCTATACCGCCGGACGACCTCGATATCTCAACCCGTTTATCTAATCAAAAGATGGCAAGGATTGATGAAGTACTCAATACGCTAAGAATGCTTAGGATATGCAGTTTGAGGTACTTGGATTATAATTGACGCTAGTTCGTGATAAAAACTTTAACCTTCATTCACAATTCTAAATATAGACACTAATTTCTAACACATTTGATAAATGCTACGTGAACTAGAAATGGCTTGGACGTTCACAGTTAACTTGATGGTATAGCTCAACTTCACCATTCGATTTCTTTATTATCTTTTCCCTTATCCTATTGCTTTCCACTAAATCGATAGTTTTCTGTCGGCTTGAAGATCATGCTTTCGTCAATGTGTATAATGAGCAGCCAAACTCTAAACTGTCATGCATGAATATCAATGACGATCTGAAGCCATGTCAGCTACTCTCCTGATTCTCACGTCTTCCATTGATTTTCTGAGTTTTTTGTGATGCAGATAAGATCGATTTGGTTCTATGTGTTGTGATCCGGTGAGTCCGGTGCGGCTTTCGTATGCGTTTGTGTGGGTGTTTTGTCCCACCTATAACCATTTATTTGAATGTACACATATTTCCAAATCTGTCGCCATTTTCTTTCCTTTCTGCCAGTATTCTGTCCATGATATTTACATAGTTGCTGTTGTCCTTCACAACTTTGGCATTTCAATCTCGCATCACGATGGTCAGGTCCTTTTCTGTGCACTTCTCTATTATCGATTTCATCCTCTCATAAAACTGATATCGGTCGTTTTCTTCGCTATCATTGGTGGGTGCATAACGCTGGATAATATTCATTGGGATTTTTTCCTTCTTTTTTTGAGGGATGCTTTGATGATTCTAGATCCATGAGATTCCCATCCTATAAGTTGATTACATGCTTCGTTGGACAGCATCAGTGCAACTGCCTGAGTGTGAGAAGCATCTTCTTCTTCGTGACCAGAGTACAGCAGCATATCTCCTGAAGCTAATCTTATCTGTTCAGGTTGAGTTCAATAGTTTTCACTGATTCCGAGTACTGTCGAGTTGTATCTCCTCATTTTCATTGCTGATTAATTAGTCCTTCCGGTCTGCCACATTGGTTGGATATCCTATGTCCCGGTATTAATGGTTGCTGTGTTTGTTAGCAGTGGCATCAGCCTAATCACTTCCGAAGAGTTTCGGCCTTCATCGCGAGGCATCATAATTCTTCTTTTGACCCGGAGAGCAAAGTTTAAACGGTTTAGTTTGTCTAATCTTCCTTTATCCAGTCTTGTCACCGGCAGTAACTGTAGTTGAGCTACAAGAGGAGTTGTATAATTAGCTACACTTGATTAAAAAGTTTTTATTGTGAAAATTAATTAGTCCAGATGAAGAATTCTAACTGTTCTAAATCCAACGACATTATGGTGTTATAACAATAAACAACTGGTGAAACACTCGTTTCGTCAAGTGAAAATCAGTAATTAAAATTCGAAAAAATGTTGCCAAACTAGGTTTAGAGAGTATCTAAAAGTGAAGGCAAATACATTCGAATGTTATTTTCTTGTGAAGTATTCACTTTTTAATTTGAAAAGCAATTTTACATCTAAACTTAGATTACAAATTTATTGATACATTTTAAAAACCAGTGGAACAATCAGTACCAATGAAATGTATAGGGAAGTATAAAATATGTTGTTGATAGTGGTTTTATAATGAATGCAAATATATCATCTCATTCTTGTGATGTTATTCCATTGCCAAGAATTATTGACCGCATCTCTAAGTAGATATATGGTCACTACAATAGTTTGTAATATAAACCATTCACAACTGATCATGAGAGTTTAACGCTTACTTCAATATATGCTTTTCCTAAACTGAATCACTAAGTGTTTACTATTATATACACATCTGTAGGATCTGCTTCTCGTCTATTAGATTGGTAGATTAGTAACTTACTCCACTTCAAACAGAAGTCAGTTGTGTTAAATTAATATTTCATACTTTTTTTATTCTACTTTCTGGACTAATAATTAGACTTCAGATAAATAGGGATCAACAAAAGAGTTTTCAGAATTCTGTCGGTTGTACAAATCGAAAATCTTGTAGAGTGACCAGAACAAATAAATTGTACGCCAATACGTTTTACTATTATAGTGTTTTCACAAAATGATGTTTGCAGTAAAAGTTTATGGTACTAGCTATGTGGGACGAAATATACATTTCTCCAGATGGAAATATAAGAACAATTATTCCATCAAATCTCATGTGAAAAGTGGATAGATATTTCATAACACGATTGTTTTCGTTTATTTAGCAGTCAGAATTCGTTCTCAACTTAGATTCAATAGTCAATGTCGGATCTCATATCCGTTTACTTTAAATAAAGCAAAGTGAATTGATTAGGTAAGGAAAAGCATTATCAGTAAGATAAAAATAACAGTTTGTAAACGGACACTGTATACTGATTTCACCAAACAATTTTTCAGAATTCAACACATTACATAATAATTATGCAGATTAAAACGTATAATATGAAATAATTTATTTCACTTACTGCTGGAGTAGTAGTAATAAACATAAAGCTACCAGAAGTAGAATAGGAACCAATTGTTATATTGTAAGTGAAATTTACCGGTACCTGGTTATAATTAGCAGTAAACACTGGAATGTGATAACTTATCTCATTTGTTAGCGATAATGTTGAATCCTTCACAATTCCTATAGAAAACCAAAAAACACAAACTAGCAATTAAACGTTAACTTTTCGTAGTTATTAATTTTAATCTCCAACATCTTGTAACCTAAGATGTAAGTGCAGGCAAAATATCAAACAACGATATGACACTACGAAAACACTAACAGGGAAATATAGTAAACCAGAGGGACCAGTCAAGGACAAAGAAGATAAGGCAATCACCGAGACTCAAGAACAGAGGAACAGGTGGGTAGAATAATTTGAGGTACTCTTGAATAGGCCAGCTCCACTGAATCCACTGGATATCGAAACGGCACACATAAACATTCCTATATTTGTCACTCCATCAACGATGGAAGAAATTTGGATGACCATCAGTCAAATCAAGAGTGGGAAAGCAGAAGGTCCTGACAATATTCAATCTGAAGTACTGAGGTCAGACCTACAAGTGACTGCAAACATGCTTCACACTCTGTTCAGGAGGATTTTGGAGAAGGAACAAATGCCACTAACATACTGGAAAGAAGGAAACACTTCATCGAGATACCAAAGAACGAAGATCTGAGCAAATGTGAGAACTATAAAGGCCTTGCACCAGAATTTCATTAAGCAACCGGCCACATTTTTATCTTTTCAATAAATTTTTTTCCGCCCGTTTTATTCGAATTATGGACGATGGTAACGTAGGAAGTACAAGCTCCATCGTTTCTCACGTTGTCACAGAACCAGAAAACGTATCCTTGAATACATTATATCTCTTGACGTTCCAATCAATTGAAGCGTTATACTGCGCTATCAGAACTCATGAAAGAACTACGTACTGCCATTATTTGCTATTGACATAACGTGAAAAAAAAACTTATCCTATTACACATTCACTGATAGGAGTATAGTAGGGTTGTGAAATGCAGTTGGTGTATTTTTGTTCAGAAGTTAAAATTTTCATAAAGAATCAGATGAAATAAAAAGAATTATTTATTGAAAATAAATTTCAAATGTAAAAATGCAAATTCTGACATCCAATCAAAGCACATGATGCTATTTCGATTTCAACCAATCAGATTACAAAGATGAACAGTTTACAACCAATTAAAAAATTATTAAAGGTGAGTTACACACTTGCAAAACAAGTACACCAATCACCAATTCCTAAATTTTTTTATCACACCCTACAATTTCTAATCAATAGGGTGGTGGAGAATCACAATGGTCGTGCAATTCATTTCAACCTCACACCAGAAAATAGAAAATAACATTTATACAAGATCAAGCCAAAAGTGGATGTGATTGTGGGAGACTGCAATTAATAAAGTGGGCAAAACTTAAAAATGGTCTATCGCATGACTATAGTCTATAGGTCAAATAAAAGCTTATAATGAAAGGAATATGAATATACATATAATATGGTCATACAATAAGAATATACACATAACTCCTAACGGTTACCATTCATTTATAATTGTCAGCATATAACGGAAATTATTTGGGAAATTTGAACTACAAAACTATTCAGTTTCAGCAACATTCAACTCTTATTGCGGTAATATGACTTCAAATATTTTCCTTTCAGATACTGGTCGAATTACTTCCAATCAGAGTTAACCTTCAGCCAGGTGAAAGAACAACTATTACTGTGAAGTATATATTTCCACTGAATTCCACTTATCCAAACTCGTCTGTGGAAATCAGTGTAGGTGGAGCAAACGATAACAATGAGACTATAATAAGTGTCAATGATTTCAAAATAAGTTTGGGTTCAAATTTAGTCCCACTGACAACTACTTATTCATCTACCTATAAGCCAAATAATCAAACAGGCCTTATGGATCGCCTGATAATTCACTTTGAAAATATCGTTAATATCGGTGAGTTGACTATTAAATTTAGATTTAGCAATAAGTCAGCTACTCAGCTGCCATGATAACTCTATGACTAAAAACAAAATTGAATATTTATACGAATAGTTTTTCAAGATTATGATATAAATGGAATTCGCTGGACACCAGCTCGGTTGTCTAAATGTTAGGGGCTCACTGTGAGTTCATGTTCTATCCCAGGTGGGTCGTGAATGTACGCTGTCAAAGAGTCCAGTATTACAACGAATCAACCGTTTAGTGCTTCTTGTCTTTCAATCAATATTTATCTAACATTAATTCATGACAAAATCCATGATGTAATCCATGAGATTCAGTAACCTCAGCAAACTCTCTGTAGTGAAATAACCATTTACCTGTGATTAGGAATTCTTTAGGTGATCTGAAATCCACTCGGATTGCAATATGAAACTTTTGGCAGAAACATTACATGTTCTAGATGTTCAAATGAGTGACAAATTTCCAGAAACGTCTGCTCTGCTTTTTGTTCTATTATCATACAATTAATTTAAGAGTGTTGCTTGGATGGCCTACCATTAATTTAATACAAATACATTGTCCTAGAATCTAAATTGCATGAATTATTTATGAGAACATTATTTCCAATTTACAGGATCCGTTAGTGCACCTCTAATGCGCAACACTGCCATCCTTTCAGTGGATATCCAGTTAAGTGATAGTAAAAGTGTTGAAAATGGGACTGTCTGGTTGCTGCAATTCACTGGTCGATTCAATAATATTACAAAACTCACCAACTTATCTGTAACTTGTGTAAGAACTGGCTTGGAAAAACCTTCAATTAAAGTTATACCATCTCAATTATCACTGGTTGCATCCAATGATTGCCCTGATCGGTTTGTTCAAAATATCCTAACCTTCGTTTAGTGTTTATACTTTCATATAATTGATTCCCTATTACAAATGAGTTGATTTTACAATAGTAGATTTTAATTATTCTGTTAAGTAGTCTTCTAGTGCATCTCAGGATCTATTTATCAGCATCTAAACCGAGTGTAAATCACCTACAACTTACGATGTCAATATCAGTATGAAATGACATCAGTTCGTAGCCATTTGTACAACACTACCACAAGAAATACCTTAATCAGTCTATTGTGTTACTTGACTACCAAGCTACCATTAAGTCAACGTCATAAAATTTGATTTGAAAACGAATTATCTTGTGATACAGATTAATGTCAAACTCGAATCATTCATGTCACACAGTGTTGCTAATTCACATGAGTTTATTCACCTTCTGCAGGTCACTAGTAATTTAAGTTATATGTAAAAACTGCATGAATATTATATTTGAGATCATCTCAGCGATTTAAGTCTACATAATTCCAACTTTTCGTCCGCGGTGTTGGTTTGCACTTGGTCAGGGTAATAATCGAAATCAATTATTCAGGTTAGAACCATTATAAAAACTACTGTTTTGGCGACGGGAGGCAATAAATTTCGTGTGGTTCTGCTACACCAGCATAATGTGAAAATTTCCAGTTTCTCGGCTTTTATATCGTTCAGTTCAAAATCAGTGATTTCTAACTTGATAAAGTCATATATTCAACTGTTCCGCCGGCTTAACCTGTTTTTGATTCTAAGGAATACTGTTTTAACTCAGAATGAGTTTTCAATTATTTGTTCATAGTTCATACTAAAACTGTTCGGTCTGTTTGTTTAGCCGAATTCTAGCTGGTCAGAAGCATTATGAGGTGAATGCGTAAAATATATTCCTTGAAATAATCAAATGTGAGAGATTACAATGGCTGTGATAATTTGTCTGACCTTTATTCGTTAATTATATGAAATATGTCTCAAGAAAAAATTATAAAATTTATCCTCTACTAGACGTGGTTTCTTTCAAAATTTACTACTAATTATATGTCATATAAATAGAGTCCCATTTATGGATGGTTTCTGATATGTTGAACCATATGATTTCCAAACCTATGGAACAATACCAAAAGTAAACCTGACTAACATTTATAATTTTGTTTCATGTGGATCAATCCAGTCAACTGCATAGCCAACTGTAAACTATTTAACTGATCACTCTAATCATCAGAAATTTCGTTTGTTCGTTTTTAATCAGATATCAATTATGCCTTTCTAATCTCCCTCATTTTAGAAGGTATCAACAATACACCTTCTATTAAAACTATTACACTTTCATTTAAAACATCTTCATGATGACACTGCTTGTTTAACAGAATACGGAGATGGTTGAGGACGGAAGAAGCTTAAGTAATCCCAGGCGACAATTACTTTTATTAAACAATAACTGGCTAGAAATATTCTCAGTGTGAGGTTTTGTGGGAATTGTTGTTTACCGGTTAGATCACGAACAGACCTTAATTAGAAAACCACTGAAAACCTAGAAGCGCTAAACAACTGGTTTGTTCTAGTATGTGCATCCATGACCATACTAAGAATCGAGATCAATGCATTCGAACACGCTGCAGGCACTCAAACTTCCATTGTCTCTGATGAGTACTTTCCTCACACCCGACATGCACCGGACTTCACTGGTCACGATAAAAAAGTGAATTCATGACCTAATGAAGTGTGGACTAGAATACAAATTATTATCATTTTTAGACCACTAAAATCGACCCACAAACACAACTGTGAATAATACTCAATCAAATATGATATTTTACATTATCTATTTTGTAGTACAATTACTACCACATTTTATGACCAAGGTAGCTTGTTTCAATACTTTATTTTCAAATTGTTTATTTCCAATGCTGTACACAGGGATGAAGTTTATCTTCAAACTATGGTTCAAATGATGAACGGTACCGGATTGGAATGCGAAAGACAGTCAATAATATTCTATCTCAGTCCACAGATACAGTCAATTGACGTATTTAATAAAACGGGGAATACAGATGATATAACATTGAAAACTGCTTTAAATCCAGTATCCAAATCGGTTCAGTTCACAGTAAGCTTATGCGTTTTGTTGCATATTGAAGTTAAATCACAAAATTTCACAGATTCGAATATGGTAAACGTAAACTGTATTAAACGAAAGGAACGTAAGGCATTGACAAGCAGAAATAGTTTGCTTCCGATTGTTGTGATTTGTTTCCAATCTTTGGTAACATTCATGTCATTTGTAAAAATATTATTAAAGATTTGCAAACAGTTTTTCAAAGTCTCACATGAACTGAATTCTATTTTGAGAAATAACTTCACATAGGTTTTCTGAAATGAATAATCGGTTGTTCTTTATGGCAGTATATTAAAGTTTTCCAATTATTCGAAAATGAAGTGTCATTTAAATTTCAAAATGTAGCATTCTTGTGAGTTAGATAACCAACTTTTCAGACTTGAAATGACCAGTCAGATTTCTACTAGAGAAATTATTGCTTAAAGTAAAACATTCCGTTGGCGTTATCGACTTCTAATAATCGCCCGAATAACCGTCGTCATTATAACTCCTTGACGGGGTATTATTTCCAGAAGGCGAAATAATAAATTAGTGCCAATAGCTTATTTCAGGCAACGCTTAAATAGAACAACTAATAAGCACAAGGCGATGAAGACCAATTAATGAGTGCTGCTTGACAAACCACCATATGTGTATGTAAAGTGTGACCGATAAACGAACTCACCAATGATTAAGTGAAACTTCCACCACCACATTAACTTTCTTTGACCCTGTATGACTATGTCTTGTTTATTCGCCAATCACAATTTTATATTCATTATAAAACAACATTTGCATTGTTGACTCATTTTTCCTAAACTCTAGTTACTGTTCCGTATGTTACTTATGTCTCTGTTTTCTCCTGTGTTAATAGACTGTACTGTTTATTTTGTATTCTAACAGTGTTAATTTATGTTTTAGAAACAGATCAAGTTTGTCAAGCCAAATAGCTTGCTTGTTCTGACTTTGGCTACACCAAGACTCTGTACTCGACAGTCTAGAGAATAGCTTAGAGTTACACCTGTAGGAAATCACTTCCTACAAAGTTTCGAATAGTAATTTCGATATACCTACTGAAATGACGCGGAAGCAAGAGCCGCTATCCCTCATTGCACTATACTAGAACCAGAGATAGGTTATCGCCAAGGCCTAAAGCTTTTAGAGGAAATGTTTGGCCACAAACACGTTATAGCACGCACGTTTACCGACAACTTGTTAAACTTCCCTAATATAAGAAGGAATCAACCAGATGGTATGAGAAGACTCTCGAGAAATGCAAGCATCTGATTTGACTCTCGAGCAGATGAATTGCGTCTCTGATTTGAACTCTTCTGGAACTATTAAAACTATGGTTCTGGAATTACCAACTCACATTCGACAAGAGTGGCTAAAGGTAGCTTATAAGATTATCAGAGGAGGTCGAGAGCCTATGTTTGCCGATCTTGTTGATTTTGTAAAGGAACAAGCTGATATAGCTAATACTAGATACGGCCTGCTTATCAACCGCGGTAGCAATAGAGACAATAGAGATGTTGGTGTTTTAAAGGGGAAAATTAGTGTAGATTACAATGCAGCAAGGATATTCTATGCGAGTGCTGATGATAATGCTCCCTTACGCAGTCCATCTTGTTTGGAGTGCTTAAGTAATCATTCTTTAGATCAATGTCAGAAGGTTAAAAACAAGAATGTTAGAGAAAGGAAAGAATTCGTCCTTAGACACAAGTTATGTAATGTTTGTCTGAAGGCAAACTATGTAGCAAAAAACTGTCGATCGCTGAAGTCATGTGCTGTTGAAGGGTGTGGCTGGAGAGACCATACCCTGTTACACGAGAAGCGAGAAGAATAACGAAATACTAATAGTGATGCCTACATTAATACTCAGCTTTGTACGGAGGAAGTCGTCAAGTGTATATAGAGACCAGTAGCATTTGTAGTAGTACCAAACTGAAAGTCAAGACTGCGAAAAGGCCGAAGGCCACTGTAACGAAGAAGCCAGTAACTAAGACCCTGAAGAAGCAGGCAGCACATATTCGCCGTGGTATCAAGGATGGTGTTGAGAAAGGCGCTCTTGTACGAGTTTTGAATAAGAGTAAGGGTGCATCTGGTAGCTTTACAGGAGCCAACGCTATTCTTAGACAGACCATGTGTATTTGGAACCAGAATAAGATAGCAAATGCCCTTTTAGATAGAGGTTGTTAATGGCGCTATAACCTTCCGAGAGCTAGTCAGCGAGGTAGCATATGGGGACGCATCATAAAGTCAATAAGAAGAATTCTGCGATCACTATTGTTTCAGAGGGTATTGACGTTTTTAATAGAAGCTGAAATAATACTGAAAAATCGACCACTCGTAAAACTAGTTAATGACTGTGAAATTTGGTTGTACTTACGACAAATAAGTTGTTGTGTTATTGAATAAAGTAAAACATTCTGTTGCCGTTATCGATTTCTAATAATCGCCCGAGTAACCGTCGTCATTATAATTCCTTGACGGAGTATTATTTCCAGAAGGCGAAATAATAAATTAGTGCCAATAGCTTATTTCAGGCAACGCTCAAATAGAACAACTGATACTCACAAGGTGATGAAGATCAATTAATGAGTGCTGCTTAACAAGCCACCATATATGCATGTGTATGCGGAGATTCAAGAGATTTAAGCAATTACAAAATAAGCGGATAAAAGGACTAAGTGCGTGGGCTCTCACAAACGGTCAGTCATAAATGCTACCTTATACAAGCATGAAGATATATATTTATAAGAGAACAGTCTGTATGCGAAATTGGTTGATTGAACGGCATGGTAAATTTGATCACAGTCAAAGCGATAATATTTTTAAAACCGAACCCGGCCACGATACAATATTTCCATTACATACATCGTGTTTGACAATAATCAATAGAAATCCTACTGTAATGTTCTATGTCCGTTTTTAGCTGAACTTATTTGACATTTTAGGAAAACCAATTTACTACAGAGTTACATATGTCAGTTTTAAATCATTTGTACTGTTGTAAAACTGAAGCTGTAGTCTTTGTATTCTTAAGTTTTTCATATAATACTATGAAATGGAATTGTTCATATTCAGTTTTGAGATTCACAATTATTCATTTAACCTTATTCTAGGCAGTTTATTTTGAAGACACTTGATAAACCGATATATGTGTGGTTTTTTTAACATTAGCTTAGACTTATGGTTGGATTGAAAAAAAAAACTCAATATTTGTTAATCATTTGAACTACTTATATACGTCCAATTTGTTCAGAAACAACACTTGTTTGTCATCACTTCTTTTATTCCTCTATTTAGACTGGTCATTTATACTTTGGTAAAAGCTACACAGCTATCTTCCGATTGAAATTCAAATCGTCTCGGACATCTGTTGAAAAATACCCAGTTCTAATCGAAGTTGTATGTAAACCGTATGAACGCAATATTTCTGTCTTTAGTGGCTGTGTAAGATCGAAATTTTACAAATTTAGATCTCATATACATGTCGAACTTGACTACCATACATACTCATGTGAGTTTTATTTCTGTATATTATTTAAAAACTATTTATAGCTACCGATTTGTGAATGCAACATAAAAAATAAGTTTATGTCATATAATTTATTCACCGGTTGATAAGTGAAATCCACTTTTTTGATAACTGTTTCAAATCTTACTTTTTACCCAAAAGCAATCTAACAACTATGATGAGGACAGCGTAACCCAACTTGACTTTAAGATAGATTGAGATCTTGAACCGATTGATGTTAGACTACCATTGAAAACCTGGAAGCACTGGACGACAGTTTCGTTCTATTATGGGTGCTATAACTAGATGCTTATATTCTTGATATACAGCGTAAAACTTGAGCACTAGAACGCTTGAACCCTTCCACGTTGCAACGAGAACACAGAAGGCTAGTGAAAGGAATGTTATTCCAGACAGTGTCAATTTTAGCAGGAAATTGTCAGGTATTTATAGTTTTTAGTAAGAAACGAAATCATCATTACAGTCCTCCAATCCGCACACAGGGAAATATTAGTATTGTTCAATCGGGAGGCTGAACGTAGGGATTCTAGAATATTCTTCCAAAAGGTGATTGGATGGAATGTCTTCGGCTCTTTCTGAGCTTCTCGCTGAAGCCTCGAGTTTACCCGTGGGACTCCTCAGCAGTGGGAATCCACGATCCCGCTCGCGGGATTCGAACCCAGGGCCTTCAGTCTCGCGCGCGAACGTACAACTTACTAGACCACTGAGCCGGCATCCTTCGATGTTTTAAGAACTAGTTACGTCGAAAAATGTATGGATAATTCCTTAGCATGGAAACATACAGTGACAAACTTGTTATTCGAGTGTATTTATCCGTGTTGGCCGAAGTGATTTATAAAAATCGAAATTTCTCACCTTAGGTCAAGGTTCTTGGTTATTCAGGCAAGACAACTATGCAATGCCACGTAGTCTGTCAAGGTGTTTCGAATCTCATCAGTATACTAGACAGACTGTTAAATTTACCAAAATTTATAAATATTTCAGAGTCTTTCCCTTTTGTTAGGAATTTCCTATAACTGAGTATTTTAATGTCACCAATAGTCAACCGACTGATATTACTAAAATATCAGGACAGGAACAATTTACTTATGCAAAGATGAAGATCAGACAGAAAACCAAATGCATTTGGACAGATTTTGACAAAATTTTAAATATTCTCAAAACATTTAGTGCACTACAAGTACGGTTTACTTTTGTTTGAACTACTCATAGTCTTACCTACTCAGTTACTTACACCTGTTATTCCCAATGGAGCATAGGCCTTCGACAACAGTTCTCCAATCCACTCTGTCCTTAACCTTCCTTTCTAGTTATATCCAACTGTTGTTCATTCTTCTCATATCTGTCTCCGTTTCTTGGCATAATGTGTTCTTTGGTCTTCCTCTCCTCCTTTGGCCTTCAGGATTTCAAGTGAGGGTGTGCCTTGTGACACAGTTGAGTGCTTTCCTCAATATGTGTCCTATCCACTTCC